ATCTGGTTGTCAAAATCCTTAACGTCTGAACATTTCTTAGCAATTCGCATTACGGACTAAAACCCCATTTAAAGAGAATATTCCTACAGCTGTCTTTCAGAACTTTAGTTTTACAATGCCTCAGTTATGTCCTCATGAGCCCTTTACTTATAAAAGATTAGTTTTCTTTTCAAATAACTTGTTTTAATACATTTTTTGACTCGAGAACTATTCCCACTTAATGGAAAAGGGCAGCTATAAATCATTTTGTTAATGTATTTCACTCAGAAAACTGGATTCTACAAGCAGTATGCTGACTATTTCTTACCTGAAATAAAAGAACAGAGGAAAAAGTAAATATTTTCTGCCAGTACTTGTCTAAACTTAGCTTTTACCTTTTTTCAGAAGCTTCTTCACTTTCACATAATTCCCTTCCCTGACATAGTCATGCAGTTCAGCTTCCGGGGAGTCTCCTTTTACACTTCCAAGCTTGACTGGGCATGGAAATGGAAGAGGGATGGGATGAGCCATCTTCTTTCCTGAACACAAGTGGGAAAAGGTAGGAAACACCATCAAGCTGCAAAGCACCTCAACGTTAATAACTTATTTCTGAACTTCAGAACCTGCTTAAAGTTACGTCTGCCTCCTGCAGAACTACCCAGAGCTGGAAGGGGAAATCGGCCTGCTACCCCTCCCTAACAGCACCCTCTCGAACCGGCCGCTGCGGGAGCACAGCGGGGACGGGAGAGGCGACAACCGGGAGTCCACGGAACCCGCCAGGAGCAGCGGTCTCCGCGGGGCACACAGGGGGACACAGCCAGCGGTGTTCCCGGGCGGGGCCTGCCCGCTCCAGCCCGTTCCCGGAGCCCGCGGCCCCTCGAGGCCACTCGAGGCCCCTCGAGGCCACTCGCGGCCCCTCGCGGCCCACGCGGCTCCGCTCACCCGAACGGCCCCGACACGCGGGAACGCCGGCGCGCATGCGCAGCGCCGCCGCCCGCCGGGTTCGCGCCAGGGTGGGGCGGGGGCGGGGCCGGGGGCGGGGCCGGCAGCGCCCGCCGCTCGCTGGGCGCGCCCGGAGCGCATCCGGAGCCATCCGGGGCCTCCGGTGCATCCCGGGACATCCCGGGACGTCCCGGGGCATCCCTCCATGCAGCGGGAGGTGGGCACGCTGCCGCTGGCCCCCGCCCTGCGCGCCCGCCTCGCCGCCGCCGGCTTCCAGACGGCGCAGGAGCTGCTGGACACCGGGCCCTGCGGCCTGAGCAAAGGTACCGGCGGCTTGCGGCCCCGCGGGGCCTCCCCGGCATCTTCCGGGCCCTTCCCGCCTTGTCCGTCCCGGGCCCTGGGGCGCCCCGGTGAGGCTTCCGGGAAATGGGCGCAGTGAGTAATAAAAGAAAATAGGCGAATGGTGACACTGATGGATGTCAATGGGATGCAGGAAAACGAAGGGATTCTGTCAGGCTCATCTCTCCTCTTTTTACTAGGCGATTGAGGCAAAATAAGCCTGTTTGAAGTTAGAAAATTGCCTTTTTCAAGGAATATATCTAGTGATTCCTTTCTGTGAGGGTGGTGAGGCCCTGGCACAGGGTGCCCAGAGAAGCTGTGAATACCCCTGGATGTATGGAAGTGTCCAAGGCCAGGCTGGATGAAGCTTTGAGCAGCCTGGGATAGTGGAATGTGTCCATGTGTCCATGGCAGGGGTGGAACTGGGTTGTCTTTACAGCCCTTTCAAACCCAACCAGTCTGGGATTTTGATTATCAATAGTTTTATTATCTATGACAGTAACAATTTGAAAATCACATCGTTAGTACCAGGGCTGTGTGCATGTTGTCCTGAGAGGGTGAATATGGATAATTTTGTGTCATGCTGCGGAATCAGTCACTGCTTATAAAATAAAGGTGGTGTTTTGTGCTTTTGGCTTCTCTAGAAATTGGGATCTCCAGGGAAGAGGCGCTGGAAGCGCTGCAGGTGGTGAGGCAGGAATGTCACGGGCACGCAGCAAGGACGGCTGGGGGATCAGGGAGCACCAGGAAGTGCACAGCCCTGGAGCTTCTGGAAGAAGAGCAAAGCCAGGGCTTCATCATCACCTTCTGTTCAGCACTGGACAACATCCTGGGAGGTGGAGTGCAGCTGACAAAAATCACTGAGATCTGCGGAGCACCCGGTGTTGGCAAAACACAGCTGTGGTATTTCAGTGTCCCGTGGCTTGTGTGCAACCAAGAATCACTTTTTGTTTAACTCAGCTATGAAATGAGTCCGTTTTCCTTCTTGTCGTGACTGCAATGTCTGATTCTTCTCCAGCATTATAGATACAATAATGGTTGTACTGCTCCCTGTCCTGTGCATTCCTCAGCAGGCATATCACTCCAGGAGTGAGCAGGGACAGCTCTGGGATGCAAATATTGATCTGTATTTCTGTTTCCCATGGCAGCATGCAGCTGGCAGTGGATGTCCAGATCCCGGAGTGCTTCGGGGGCGTTGCAGGAGAAGCTGTGTTCATTGACACCGAGGGAAGTTTTATGGTGGACAGAGTGGTGGACATTGCAGCTGCCTGTGTGCAGCACTGCCACCTTATTGCTGAGGCTCAGCAAGAAGAGGGTACGTTGCCAAGTCATTTTTTTCTGGAGGAGGCAAGGATGGGGTGAAACAAGTGTCTCGTAGGCTGCAGTGTTGCTTTTGGAGTGTTTGCTGACAGCTTTTTATTTCCACCTCTGTGTATCAAACTCTGAACTACATCTGTGTCTGGAGCAGACTGAGCTGGGCTACTTCAAAAATAATTATTTTTCTACATGGTGATTTTGTGAATGTTTTGATCTTGGGGGTTTTTGGTGGCATGTGGGATTTTGATGTCTGACCTTCCTCCTTTCCTCTTTTCCTTCCAATTTTTTTCAGCACCTTAATTATCATATTTGCAGCACCTTATTGATCATATTTACACCTGTTGAGCAAAACTGAGTGCTTTGTTTCAAAACACAGGAACAGTTAGGGAAAGAAAAGAGGAACAGCAGAATTTTATGAGGCAATGTTGCTACTGAAGGCCCATAGAGTAAAACTGTAGCTGGAATTCAGCTCCTCCATAAAGTCAGTATAGCCAGGCTGCTTTTAATAACAGTTTTATTCTCTAAGTCATCAGTCTCTTGGGGATAAGGACACAACTTTTGTGTTGCTTATGGAGAATTTATGCACCAAACTTCTGTTTGAACTGAGGTAAAACGACACTGTATTAAATGAGTTACTGCCTGTATATTAAACAAGGGATGATTAATAGTCCCTGATGTCCTCTGGTGGCGTTCTGGCTTGAAAATGATTTACTGGAGAAGTTCTTGCTTCAGAAATAAATTTTTCATTGTTGGAGGCCTCCCTTGGAGGCTCCAGTGTGTCTGTGTGCAAATGCTGGGATAGCATCTGCTCACCACCTTCCTGACTTTCAAGCCAGATGGAAAATATGTTTCCACGCTCCTTACCTTGCCCGTTCTGTTTCTGGGGGCTTTGCTGTTGCTATGTGTGGAGGGCAGGGTTTGGTGGGATGATGAAAGTAACAATATGCTCGTACAGACTTCTGACTCATTTACTCATCTGTTTGTTTTGTTCTCAGAT